AATAATAATAATAATAATAATAATAATAATAATAATAATAATAATAATAATAATAATAATAATAATAATAATAATAATAATAATAATAATAATAATAATAATAATAATAATAATAATAATAATAATAATAATAATAATAATAATAATAATAATAATAATAATAATAATAATAATAATAATAATAATAATAATAATAATAATAATAATAATAATAATAATAATAATAATAATAATAATAATAATAATAATAATAATAATAATAATAATAATAATAATAATAATAATAATAATAATAATAATAATAATAATAATAATAATAATAATAATAATAATAATAATAATAATAATAATAATAATAATAATAATAATAATAATAATAATAATAATAATAATAATAATAATAATAATAATAATAATAATAATAATAATAATAATAATAATAATAATAATAATAATAATAATAATAATAATAATAATAATAATAATAATAATAATAATAATAATAATAATAATAATAATAATAATAATAATAATAATAATAATAATAATAATAATAATAATAATAATAATAATAATAATAATAATAATAATAATAATAATAATAATAATAATAATAATAATAATAATAATAATAATAATAATAATAATAATAATAATAATAATAATAATAATAATAATAATAATAATAATAATAATAATAATAATAATAATAATAATAATAATAATAATAATAATAATAATAATAATAATAATAATCAATCAGCTGTAACATCCTTTCGGTGCCTATCTGTTATACTACCCGAAGGGAGCACGAGGGCAGGGATACTGCCAGGTTGCCCAAGAGTAGACAGGGGAAGTTGAGAGGCAGAGGTCAGGTTGGAACCACAGACATTTCGGTCAGTAAATCCACGCTCTAACCACTGAGCCACTTCGAACTGGTGGATTCATTGGTTCACAACGCACAGCTGGTTTTTAAGGTAGACATCAATCCGTAAAATTCCTAGAAAAGCGGTCGGGGGAAGTCCTCAATAGTGCTTATTCAAGCAGTATTCACTTAATGGTCTGCAAAAAGTCGGTGGAATCCTGTTTAACCGCGCAACTTTTAGATGACCTCACAGATCATATACCGCATTGTTTGGCTTAGGATTCCAGGCGAACTGAATCAGCTCATTTTTTCGGCCAGAACTATTAATATCTGGCTTTCTTCTATCGATATTGTGAACAGATGCCATTGTGAACCAGTGACTCAACTATGAATCGGCTCAGTCAGTATCTAAACCGCGTTTCCTCCTTATGCCACAAATGGATAAGCCCAAACAAACCGAAAAACAAATGAAGAGGAGGAAAATCTAAAAGAAGTCACAGAGTCAAACTGGTCTCAGCGTAGAAGCATTTATAAGGGCATACAGAAGTTTCGAAAAACGACTTACGTCATAAACCGCATAACTATGGCAATAGACCGTCTCAATCATTGACTCTGAAGGCCGGTCAGTGAAAACACGAAGTACACAACCGCACTTGAAGCCAACTAAAACCTGTACGGATCAAAAGGTCAGAGTTGATATGTATGAAATGAATCATCATTATACCTGCCCACCATTTGTCTGCGGTAAAAACTTGGCGGTGAAAACGTTACTGTCTGCAGGAAGTTTTTGAGAATATGCCGGCTTGACAAACGAATCCTACAAAATGCTGAATAGATGTCAACGACGCACCTCCAGAAAAGCAGGTGTAATACAGATACGTCGATCATCCGAACCTGACAGCAAATAGTTTCCTGTTTCATCCCAACATACGGTGTTGACCTACAAAAGCCTACGTAACAAAAATGGGAAACGTACACATCCGTCATGCACAGAAATATTATTGGTCACTTGCAGTGAAGTAAAAAAGTGGTGGTTATCTGAAGTTGATGAACACTGTTTGTTAACATTACCTCGCCAGCAACTATCATCATCAAGGTGACCGGTGTACTCAAAAACGAAGCGGTTTTTTTGCATGTGGACTGAAATTTTAAGGCACGATGCGACCGCCACTGATCCACCCCAACACCCTGAATGTCACATTGAACACCACATGTAAGCCACCGGCCAATCTCGAGGAGTGCATAAGGCTGAATAAACCCACTTCGCCTAAATACAAAAGGCAAGAAAAACATAATGTTGATAAAAAATCAGAGACTGATCTACGATTACAGTGACGACGGCTGTCTTCTGCAGTTAGCCAATACACCCCACTTAGTATTTGGGTTGAATGGATGCTAGAGTGCAGAGTTTTAAAAATAAGGTCCATCCGGTTTGTTGATATGTATTGCTTTTTCGGAGCTGCCCATCGAACTGCAAAGGTAATTTGGTGGACCGAAATCGTATCATGTGAAAAAACGTTTGCAACGTTCAAAAGTCCCAGCATTACTGGAAACGTGGAACAAACCGGAGATCATAGCAGTCAGAATGGATGTGTTGAAATCCAACTTTGAACTACACGTCACTGACCTGCATTCATTCAAGGCAACAGATCTGCAGGATTAAGCGGTAGGTTTAAGAAGGACTTCTGAAGAAGTCGTAAGAGTTTACCATAAGAAGCCATCACTAAAAGCGCCATTCAAGGTTAAGTCACTGGTCACTTGGGGCTATCGTTACTATGGCATCTTTACCCGTCGTTGGGAGAGTGGTTGGCATCTGCCAAGTTACCGGCTGTAGAGACACATAAACGGATTACATTTATGGAAATACCTACCTATACTCATTGGCGTACGTAGTCATCAAATCACAGACCTATGAATTTCATAACCGCTTGACAATGTTGATCCAAAAAGTTGGTTTACTGCTCATCCATCAACAACAATAACAAATCAAACAGCACCAACAGTATTGCCATTGAAGCTTCATTGCCGTACAATCACAAAGTCTAATTATGTTTGAGGCCATAAAGCAGAAGGGAGAGAAAAGAATAAATGAGGTAGCGAACTGTTGCTAGGAAAAGTATCGCTCAGCTACAACACCCTTTCGGTGCCTATTCGCAGGAAGCACAAGGGCTGAGATAATACCAGGTTGCTCAAGTCTAAACAGCAGTAGAGATGCACCAGTTGGGTTCGAAACACGGATCGCCCGGTCGGTAAGTTCACACCTTGACCATTGAGGTATCCCGAGCTCAACTGGCGCAGGATTATCCAAACGCTTAGTCAGACAACGTGGAAAGAAACTGACAGCAGGGAAATAACCGATATCAATTAGCCACCACTTCCTGCTACATCTCAAGCCAAGGACAAGAGGGACCATCACTCCGAAAGCGGACCACAACGACAGCCAAGTCCTTCGTCGTCTTTTTCTCACACTGCTGACAAGTCAGCTGCAGTCAGCGCAGTTCAAGAGGTGGCACAGAAAACGGCAACCAATTTCGTAGAACGATTCCGATGTTCCGTCATGCGTAGCACTTGGCCGAGCCACCCCAACTGATGATACTCGGTGTTCCCCACGACAGAAGTCGCTGTCGGACCAAAAAACAAGTTTTTTAGTTAACTCATCATGAACTTCCTGACACAACCCGGTACCAACAACATCTTTGAGATACCAGTGGTCAAAAGCTCAAGGACGCCTCACATTACCTGTTCACAGAGGCCATGCAGCAATACAGCCCTTACTGCAGCCCGGTATAGGCAAACAACTGATGTGCCTTTTTCATTACCTGTAGAGGCCATGCAGCAATACAGCCCTTACTGCAGCCCGGTATAGGCAAACAACTGATGTGCCTTTTTACACTCAAACGACCGACCCAGGAAAATGTTATTTGAGTCTTTGGGATTCGTACACTAGGTAAGACACGGTTCCGTCAGAGTTAATACGATTGCCAAGATATGTAACATTCTTCACAACCTCCAGTGCTTCTCCTTGAATTGTACATTACACGTTCCGCAGAACGACTTTGCGCTTTGTTGGTGCACAGAGAATGCAGAAAGATGTTACGGTGATGTTCAATTCATTCGACAGCGTTTGTGCTTAGCCATCGGTTAAATGGGTTTTGAAAACCAGGGTTTCGAAAACCTTACGACGTTTGCTTGGCTATTTCATCTATGACGAAGTTGAACGAGAGGAAAGAGCGGACATCATTCCCAGATACCATTTTTATAGGGAGGCTTTTAGGGAGCTCACCATACACCCTTACATGCCCAATAGTAAGTAAACATTAGGAAAAGATTATGTTCAAAAAATTCTGAGTGGTCCTTTTTTGAGCAAGTGTAGTTAGGAGCACTGACCGACTAACAGAATCGAACGCACCTTTGAATTCACGGAACAGAACGACTATGGAATGTCTGTACATATGGCGTTGCTCTAACACATAACAATGTATGAAGATGTGGATGCCCCAGTTAGGTGGCTGAAATTGATTGGAATCGGTAAGTAGGAACAACCGCGAACGACTGCTTTAGCTGTGTTTCGACCAGACTTTTTATGCAGTAATAAGTTTGGACATAACGGAATTCTTCTAGCTTCATAG